CTCTTGGAAACATCGGGATGTAAGTGAATCTGTGAATGCCCCATTCCAGTGCTTCCACACGTCCTGTATTTCTCTAAAATAAACCCTCATCGATCACCTGCAGGTCTGGAGTCTGGAGACTCCACTTTCCACACCACCTCCAGGAGCACCTGCTTGTGCAGTCCAATGCCTTTAGCACGAGGCCTGCGCCGGAGTCCTCAGGATAGTGGATCCTGATAGATTAGTGATGTCTGTCATGGGAGAAGGAAGGAGAGATGACAGTGTGGGCTGTATATTTGATCTCCTGGCTCTTCCTTACAACATAAAAAGAGTCCATCTACTCTGTGTGACTTATCACCACTTTTTCTCATCTTCCTCAGAAGTTAGAGTTGGAAATAGATCATCTCTCCTTGATGACGCAAGCTCATGCACTTTTCCTCCTGAGGGCTTCAGATATACTTTCCATTTTCTCAGTCAAATGATGCACAGGCTGCTCATCTTATTCCCCAAACCTCTTAGCAGCAGGCACCATACCAGGTACACAGTTCTCATTTAATGGATCCTGGAAGCCTCTAATTTGGAGACTGAAGCTGTGGCCTTCCCACTTAAAAGTCTGATTCGGCATTTGCTCACCCAGCTTTGTGAAATCCCTTTCCTCTGGCTCATCTAAAACCCTCCTAGGACCACTCCAGCCCCTTGATGCTTTTGCAGAAGCAAAGGATATTCTATGCCCTGCAAGACCACCTAGTTTGGCTGGGGGCTACTTGATTGCAGAGTCCCTACATTTCAGGGCGAAATGACAAGCCGCAAGCATCTCAGTGTTATGGTTGGGATCTGGAATGTTCCCCAAAAGCACACAAATTGAAAGCGTGGTCCCCAATGCACCAGGGTTCAGAGGCAGGGCTTTTAGGCAATGACCGGATGGCGAGGGCTTCAACCTCATCCTAAGCTACAGTCGTGATGCTGGTGATTTCATTTATAGCACACTATTATAATTGATCTAGGTTACTAGTATTGCTATTAATCTCTTACTGTGTCTAATTCATAAATTACATTTTATCACTGTGACTACCCTAGGTTAAAAACATAGTATATACAGGCTTTGAAACTCCCTGAGGTTGCAGGCACATAACCCTCATGAATGGGGGGGGATGACTGCACGGTTAAATTGACTCTGAACTTGCAGGGAGCTCCCCACTGCAGCTGGCTGAGCCCCAAGGACGACAGAGGGGATGAGCCGTGGGTCATCATGTGCCATTCAACTGAGCAGCAGCCAATGCCCACACCTCTCCCAGGAGGGACTCATTTCTCCCATGCTGTTGTGAGCTAAACCGTGTCTCCATCCCAAAGAAACGCTGTTAACCCACACACCTGTGAATGCGACCTTCTTTAGTAATAAGCTCTTGGCAGATGGGATTGAGTTAAGACGAGGTCATTAGGGTGGGCCTGACTCAGTGTGACGGGCGTCCATTAAAAACGGAGGAGAAGGGCAGAGACTGACAGGTACCGGGGAAGCCAGTGTGAAGACACATGTGACGAGGGAACAGAGACCGGAATGATGAACCTACAAGCCAAGGAACATGGAGGATTGTTGGCCATGAAGAGATACACAGAGAAAGACACGTGACATGTCCCCCCGGAGCTTCCAAGGGACACAGCCCTGATGACACCTTGGGACTTCTAGAACCAAGAGACAATACATTCCTGTTGTTTAGGCCACCCAGGGGGGTGGAGCTTTGCCCCAGCAGCCCCAGGACATGAACCAACTGTGCTCATTCCTTCATTCTGAGGGTGCCTGCGTGTGCTTTCTGGGGTTCAGAGGGCTCACGTGTTCATTACTTAAACCAGTCTCTGCTTCCATTTTTGCTTCAGCTAGAACCCCGCTGCCCATCAAGGGAAAAGCCAAGTTGAAAATGCATGTCCCTTTCCAAACCGGCACTCAGCTCACCCAAGGCCACCTGTCAGTCTTCTCCATCCCGTCCCCAACCCGGTCTGGTTCCTGAGACAGCTCCGCTCCCAACTGCACTGAGAGCGGTGCCTTCATGCTCCCAGGTCTCCCTTGTGAAGGGCTGAGGACTTCACCAGGCGCACACACACGGCCACCTGCTGTTCGGCCTCCTCATCCACCATGATGGGGGGCTGCACCCCTGTGTGACAATCATAGAGTGCACAGTCCTTGGGATCATCAGAGGCTACCTTCCCACCTTATTCTTGGAGACATGGGGCTGTAACACATCAGCTATCACCCCGGGCCTGGGTCCTGCTTAAGGGGTGCAGCAGGAGCCCTAGTTCTTCCCTCACAACCCGTCTGTCCATTCTGACCTTGGTTATTATGTTCCTTTTTTCCTGAGAGCTGGGTCTTCACACCAACCCTTCTGCTTCTGCCTGGATTCTCGCCCTAAATGCTTCCCGCAGGATGTCGGTAAGAAATCCCCACCAACACCCAAGTGTCCACGAGAGCCCTGGCATCTTCCTGTGGGAAGCGGGGAGCCAGCACCTTCCACTGGGAATTACTTCTGACCTTGACTTCCCACGGTTTCCCACAGTTCCTCCTACTGTGCTGGGTGCAGCCAAGACCGCTGATCCCTGACCCCAGGGTCTGGGTAGAAATTCACAGAAGCCTGAGAACATGAAAGAGGAGAAGAGACCAGAGAGAATGGGGGAGGAGAGAGAAGAAGAGGAGGGAGAAGTCTTTAAGAGCACATAGGGACCTCCTTCCATCTGCCTGATCCACTGCAGGGATGCAAACGGACAGAAGTGCATGTTCCTATGGTTTTTTTACAGACCTGATTCTACCCTGTCATAAACAAGCACGGGCAGACACAGAATTTCACGGTTCCATCCTGATTTGGTTAGTCGTGCTAATGCAGTTAGTAGATGCCCTGAATTCTGAAATCCAGACATAATCCCCAGAGCTGTTGCATCCAACTGGCTGGTCTTCAGTCCTTCCTCCAAGTGCTACTGCAGACTGGCCCTTCACCCCTTTGCACTGATTCTGCCCAGTTTTCCCAACTAGCGAAGGGTTCCCAAAGGAGGAAGAAGGAATAAACATAAAAATAAAATACACCCTGGCCCCACTCATCCCCAAAACATGCAAAAGGATTCTTGGGTTCAAGGGCCGTCGCTGAAGGTGATTCGTTGCAAAGCCTGGTTTGCAGGAACGAATTTTGTGCTTCTAGGTCCATGTATGGTAAGTACTACTGCTTAACAAACTAACCTGAAACTTAGGACCTCCAGGCAATGAACACTTAAGTCTTTAAGTTGTCAAGTCCTGCTGATGTGGGGAGTCCAGGTTCAACTGTCTCAACCGCATACCTATGGATAAGTGGCAGGTTGGATGGTCAAGGATAGCTCTTCTAGGAAGACTCACCCATCTCCGGCCTGGAGTGCTGTCACAGCGGTGCCCAGCAGGACACAAATCACGTTTATGAGGCGCTGTTTGCATGGAATTTATTACTACTCCATTACTCAAGAAGACACACAATAAAGCCACAGTTCTGGAAAATACCATCCAAAGGTATGTACAGAGACCCGGGCACAGTGGCGCACACCTGTAATCCCAACAACTCAGGAGGCTGGGGCAGGAGGATCACAAGTTCAAAGCCAGCCTCAGCAAAAGCAAGGCACTAAGCAGCTCAGCCAGACCCTGACTCAAAATAAAATACAAAATAGTGCTGGGGATGTGGCTCAGTGGTCCAGTGCCCCTGAAATTAATCCCTGGTACCACCTCCCCCCTCCAAAAAAAAAAAAAAGACATACCCAATGAGCTTTCAATATAATATGGAAATGGGCACCTTGCGAGAATTTGACAAATTGGTGTTGAATTAACGTTAGTGAAAAAGGCAGAGACCAAGAAAATACGGTGTGAAGAAGTGTGGCAGAAGTCTAGGATGACTGTGACCAGGAGAGGTTTCCTTGGAGAAATCAAGTTGCAAGACTGTCTATGTTTTCTCCAGGGGCAGCCCAGGGCAGATCTGGGAATTCTGGGTGGAGAGAACAGAGGAAGCAGAAACCCAGGGAACAGAGGTAAAGTGACAAGAAGAAAAGTCTGGCAAGTTATCAGGTGGGACTGGACCTTCGCCTATTCCCCGTGGGGGGAGAGGGGGCTCCATCTGGGTTCTTTTAAGCCTGAATCACTCCCAATTTCCCAATACTTGAGGAATACCCAATAGTTGAGGTATTTCAACCCTGTAACATCCACTCAACCCACCAGATTTGAGAAAGCAGGAACAGAGTATGGAGAATGAACCAGATTGGGAATCAGCAGGACCCGGCTCCGGTGGCCCTTCATCCCCTAGCTGTTCACTGACACGCTTGGCCATTTCCCATCGCCTCTCGATGCCTCAGTTTCCCTATTGTAAAATGGGAGCGATCACACCTACGTCATAGAGTTGCTGTCGGAATTTAAAGAATGACCCCAAGTGCTTGGACCGGACCTGCTGGGGCAGGAGAAAGAAGCCCCAGCGCTTCCCACCTCTGGCCACCGCTGTCAATCATCAGCTCTTCTCTCTAATTCATCTCTGCTTGGATCCCTCTTCCCCAGTACTCAAGCCATTAGGGATGAGGCCAGAACTGGCTCTGGATGAGCCCCTGCAGTATGGGGGAGATTTGTCCTAGACAGTGTCTGTCTGTCTGTCTCTCTCTCTCTCTCATGCAAGAGAGTTGGGCCCTGGGGAAGAGCAGCCCCCCTCCAGGAGGGCTCCAGACAGCAGCAGCGACCGTGGAGACCGCTGTCCCTGCTGTCCCCGCTGTCCCTGCTGCATGCCCACAAACAAAAGTCGCCTTTCATCCGATCCAGTGCCGCCTGCCCGAAGAGGAGTCACTTCCTTGTGCCTGGGCGTTGATGAAAGCCGACAGCAGAGGCGAGAAAACAGCCAGCTCTCTCTGCGCGCGATAAAACCATTACAATCAATTTCGGCAGCTCGCGGGCGCAGACAGACTCCGCGTCGACTGGATTCTGTTACGGGGGCTGGGGGTGCCGGGGCGGGGGGCCGGCAGGGTGGGGGCCCCCGGGGGGCCTTCTGGGAGGCTGGAGCATTTGGCCTTCCGCGGATGGGCCCCATTACGGCTGCAGCCTGGCGCCACGGCTGCGGGGGCGGGCAGCGCGAGGAGAAGTGTCCTCCCGATGGCGGGCGGGGGGCCACCAGCGCGAGCTTAACTCCTGCGGTCTCCAAGACTAATTGCTCACGGTGGAAACACGCCTCAAAGTGCTCTGGCCTCGTCAATAATAGGGTATTAGATGCCTTCCATTCCGCACGGCATTGATCTGTTTCCTCCCGGGCCTGCTGCCGGCTCCGCTCCCTGCCAGGCCCCGCCGCTGCGCCCGGCTGGCTCGGAGGACTCCGCGCCCCGCCTCCCGCGCCCCACCAACCTTTTTTTTTTTTTTTTTAAGTGTTTTCTAAGCGTGTGTTTAGCATGAGTGGTGCCTAAGTGCTAATTGTTACACCACAGATTGATTGGCGACGAGATGGCTTGCCAAGTTCCTCCCGTCTCCTGGGGGAGGGGGCGGGGGAGGGGGGAGGGAGGGCCCGGGGGACGCTGGGGGACAGGGAGACAGGGGAATCCTTGATGCTTCTGAGCTTCCTCTCCCGCTCTCTCATGCCCATTGCCCGCGAGGTGGGGAGGGCAGCCTCTATTGATATTTGATTATTCTCTGCTATTTATTATTTCTGCTTTGACAGAGTGGCCAAGATGTTCCTGCAGGTGCTGCGTAGAACCTGGCGGCAGGCTTTGGAATGGAGCAGGCAGGAAAAGCTGAGGGTGGGTACAAATGTCCTTGCAGCACCTCCCCTCCCCCCAAGCAGGATGCTGTTCCATGAAACCTTTCTAACAAGCCCTGACCCTGGTATGTGCCTGGAGGAGCCAGGGTGTCCAGCCAGGCCCCTTCTTGGAGTGACTTATGTAACCACCTGGCTGTCCTCAGGCTGGCCGGAGCCATCCCTGAGCCCACGTGCAAGATGGGCAGCACCTCACAGTGGGCCTGGCAGGCCTGGTGGCCCCTGAGACATTTCTTCTCATTCTTCCAGATCACTGCATTTGGAGGTGTTGGGAGTTCAGGGTGAGCGGAGCCGGTCAAGATTCCCAAAGGGCACAGACAAGAGATGGGACTCCTGGGACACCCAAGATCCCTCCAAACACCTGGGGCTTCATTAAAGGTGCAGAGCAGGGGTCTTGGCAACTACAGCCACAAAACATCCCCACCTGACAGGTGGCCCAAACATCCTGGGTGTGTCTGCTTAAAACAAGACAGTGTGGAGTCCACTCATCCAGCATGAAATCCAACCAGAGCGGGCAGGCAGCGTCTCCACCAGGTCCAGACTCTCTCCCCCCAGTCTCAATCTTTCCCCAAATGCCCACCTTCCCTAGATTCCCTCTACCCCTGGTCTTCCTCTTCCTCAAATTCCGTCTTCCCCAATCTCCACTACCCCGGACTCCATCTTCCCCAATCTCCCCCCTCCCCAGATTCCATTGTACACAGACTCCATCTTCTAAGATTCCATCTTTCCCAGTCTCCAGCATCCTCAGATTCCATGATCACCAGACTATATCTTCCCCAGAGTCTGTCTTCCCTCAGACTCCATCTTTATCAGAGCTCCATCTTCCCCAGATTTATCATCCCAGACCCCATCTTACCCATACCCCATCTTACCCAGTCTCCATCCAACAGTCTTCATCTTTCCCAGCTTCCATCTTACTCAGACTCAATCTTCCCCTTCTGTATCTTCTCCAGATTCCACCTTCCCACATTTCCCTCTTCTTCAGACCTTGTATGGTGCAGTTCCTTCTGCTTAAATTTCTTTTTTATCCGATTACTTCCTTCTCTTCAAATCTGACCCCAAAGGGATCACCTTTGTTTGCCTCCTTAAGCAGAAGCCTTCTTTCTTATTATTCTATTTTTTCTTCTTCAGCATTTACTGGTGCTGACAATGGCTCATTGATTGACATCGATGTGTTCCTAATCTGCTTCCACCCAGCCACCAAAAAGAGCACCAAATGGAGCACAGTACATGGAGGACAGTGGCTGCATTCCTGCCACCACTGTGCTTACAGGACCTAGAGCAGCAAATAGCACATAGTAGGTGCTCCCAAAGCAGGGATCAACCAACTGCCTCAAGTTCCTTAACTGTGAAGTGATTATAAAAGAGTACCTTGTGCTGAAGTTGGAAACAAGACGGTTGTGTCAAGCTGTCAGATCAAGAAAGTGCGCCTGGTTAGTGCTCCGTGAATGCAAATGATTCTGAGCATCAGCAACAGTGGCATAGCTTAATACAGAAACCAAACGCAAGGAGATCTTCACTTGCTTCTGTCCTCAACAAAAATACCACTGCCATGCCACTAATTCAATGGATAATAACAGTCACAAATGGAAAAGCCAATTTCCACCTCATATGATCATCTTATTTGCCCCTGAGCTTGCTTGGGGACCTAAGTTGAAACACAGGAATGTGGATTCCAGAGTCCAGCACTGAATACTGGTGAGGGGATGAATGATGTCTTCTAGCTGCCCGTCTTTAGATAGGCTGCATTACCTCTGTGGGCCTCAGTTTCCGTATCATGAAATCTGGGGTAATAACATCTATTTCATGGATTTGTGGTAAAGATAAAGAGAGAGAATGTGTGTGAAAGCCGCTGACCTGAGACATAGAAGCCCTTCAGCAAATGATGCCTTTTCTGACTTTATCCCCCTCTAGCCCTGCAAGGAAGCCGTATTTGGAAGTACTTGCTCCATGTTGCAGGCTCAGAGTGGTCTGAGAGATTCCCCAGATTCCTCTCTTTCTCTCTCATGAGTGTCTAGAAGGATAGAAGCTCACCTTTTCTCTTCCTCCCCCTCCTTCAATATGTCTGAATGTCATAAAAAGGGAAAACTTACATTTTCTTACTCCAGATCCCCCTCATGAGAAAAGGTGGCAGGACTTCAAACCAGTTCCCACCTTCAGCTCCGACATGCTCTAAGTCTGTTGCGATGCTATCAGTGAGCACCAGAGGGAATCTTGGAAGTCACTCTAAGACCTAAACACAGATCACAGAAAATTAATCACTCTCTGGGATGGACTGCCGATGGTGGTCTTCCTTCTCTCCAGCCTCAAGGATTCTTACACAGACTGGTCCAGGTCTTTGGTTTCCAAATTGTATCTTTAGTTTTAGGGCTCTCTGGTCACACAGACTCTTATGGGACACAGATGATGGTGAGATGATGGTGATGATGATGATGGTGAGATGATGGTGATGATGGTGATGGTGGTGATGATGGTGATGTTGGTGATGATGGTGATGGTGATGATGATGATGGTGATGATGGTGGTGGTGATGGTGGTGATATGTTGATGATGGTGATGATGGTGATGGCGGTGATGATGATGGTGATGGTGATGGTGACGGTGATGATAATGGTGATGATGGTGATGGTCATGATGATGGTAATGGTGGTGATGATGGTGATGATGATGATGGTGATGGTGATGATGGTGGTGGTGATGGTGGTGATATGTTGATGATGGTGATGATGATGGTGATGACGATGGTGATGGTGATGATGGTGATGATGATGGTGTTGGTGATGATGATGATGATGATGGTGGTGATGTGATGGTGATGATAATGGTGATGATGGAGATGGGATGGGGATGATGGTGTGATGGTGATGGTGGTAATGATGGTGATGGTTATTAAGATGGTGATGGTAGCTAATTTTTTTTTGGTGTGGTAACTATGTGCCAGGCAGCTCTAACATTCTGGATGCATTTTCTCATTTAATTTCCAAACATAACATATTATTTGTATTGCACTCTTACAGATAAGGAAGCTGAGATTCCAAGAAGGAGAGTCACTTCCCCAAAGTCACACAGCCTGTGCAGCTCTAAACGTGAAACCAGATCTGCTTAACGTCCACATTGAAATGACCTCTGATCATGTCCCATGGAGACTCTGGAAGAGTTTCAGGGACCCCTCGGGCTCTAAGTTGCATCGTTTATTTGATGGTTAGCACATTGCCAATCTTACAGTAAGCACTGAGAAAATCTTTAAAAATGGGAGATTTCTTCTTTATTCTATGGTTAACAAGAAAGAAGATGGCTCTTTCTCAACCTTTATTTAGTGTCTAAAAATGTATAACTATAGGAGTACTTTTTAAAAATTCCTCAACAGTGACACTCTGGACTCAAAGCAGCTACCTATTGGGTGAGGACACTCAGGTGCCCTGAGTCTAGGGCTGACACCACCAGGGTTGTGATGCAGGAGGGCTCAGCTTTCTCCATCTTTTCAGTGAAGTTGTCTAATTTTCAAAAAATTATGTAGCAAATGAACAATTTTTTTTTCTAAATTAAACCTTAAATAGAGACCCGTGTAAGAGCAGGTAGGGTGAAGACCTGAAGAAGTCCTAGCCTCTCCCTCAGGAATCCCCTTGGCACAGCCACAGAGTCTTTGGATTCTGTTTCAAAAGCACCAAGCCACTCAACTGCATGTTCCCTGTCCCCAAGGCCAAAGCCCCTTCCCTCTTCACTACCTGCTCACAAGGAAACAGGAAGGAAGGACAGTAGGTCTCCCAAATCCTGTTTTTATTTCTTCCTTCTGTTTGTGGAACTGTTAAATAGAATTTTATGACACGGTATGGTTTAGACTGATTTTATTTATTTATTACACAACCAATGTGGATAAATAAATGGGTGGATGGGTGGATGGGTGAACAATGGCTAGCTGGATGGAGGGTGTATGCATAGAGGGGCAGGTGGGTGGTTAATGGATGAATGGAGGGATGGACAGAGGACTGGCTGGATGGCTGATGAATGCATGGGTGGATGGATGGATGGGTGGATGGATGGATGGGTGGATGGGTGGGTGGGCAATGGATGAATGAATGGATGTTGGATAGATGGACAGATGGACAATAGATGGATGGATAGATGGATGGATGGATAAATCAATGGCTCAGCAGAGGGACTGATAGTGTGTGTGGTAGTGGAAGTAGAGCCTGACCAGAGCAATGAGGGGCAGGAGAGAAGAAGTACTGGCCGTCGGGCTCTGTGGTCAGCACACCTCACCCAGGCTCAGTTAATCCTTGCCAATGTCCGGGAGGGAAGGGCTCTAGTCCCTTTTTTCCAAAAGAAGATGAGGTTCAGCTGGGTTCAGGTACCAAGTGGCAGGCCCAGGTCCTTGCTATGACACCAGGTGTCTGGAGATGTTTCCCCTACAGAGAATCTTCCAGAATCTGAAGAGGAAGTTATTGAAAGAAACGTAGGAAAATGAAGAAAATAAACAAAAGAGAGAGAAAAGAAGCGAACAGCTTGGGACATGGAGAGAGTGACACTTCCTGGCTGCCCACTGGACACCGACCTTGTACTTGGCTGTACTTGGCGTGGACCATGAGCTCTTGACCATGAGCTCAAAAGGCTGGGATTTTTAAATTTGTTCTACAAAGAGGACACCAAAGCCCAGCGTGGTAAAGAACTCTCTCCCGGAGCCTATTCTCCCGAGCTCAGGGGTGGAGCCGGGATTGAACCCTGTTCTAGCCACCTTCAAATCTGCCCTGTTCCTGCCAGTTTAACCAGACAATAAATACATAAATAAATAAGGGGGGAAAGGAGAGGAAAGGAAAAACTATATGCATACGCCCAAATAAGGAGGATACAAAGAAAAGGAAAAATGAAGGCAGGAAGAAAAAATGCAAATAAAAATAAAAAAAAAAAAAACAAATTTCCACAATAGGAAAATAAGGAAAAGAAAAAAAAAATCCAAAAGACCCTTTTTGCCAACCTCCTCCCGCCCAGAGAAACCGCAGCCCAAATTGCAGTGGACGGTGCCCCTTGCACAGAGAGCCTTTGAGCTCCGACGCCTGCCTCTGAGGGTGGGGGCCGGAGGGAGACTGGCGTCGGCTGCGACGAGTCTCAGGGCGCTGGCGAGAAGACCCCAAGGAAAGCTGAGCGTGGGTCATCGGATTAAAGGAGGCAGGAGGCTCCAATGGAGGAGACGGGGGAGGGGAGCGGAGGGGGTGGCGGCCCCCCCACCCCCGACCCCGTGACCCGCTGCCTGCTCTAACCTGATATAACAAATAGTCCTCGAAAGCAAAATAGTATTAACCCCTGGAGCCAGGTCAGCCCTGCCACATGGGCCTGGGACTGTCAGACTGCGTGTCCCAGAGGGTTAACTCTTTCTTGGGGCCCTCTGATTGCCACTTTAGAACACCACGGCTCTCCAATTCAGCCAGATGCAATAGATGAGATTCCCCCCCACACCCCCGGGAGGGATGCAGGTCTTGGCATCGTCACCACGGACCCAGGGAAAGTGTCTGCTGCCCATCCGAAACCGGACAGGGAAAAAAAAAAAATGAGCTCTAAATCGTGCCCCCAGCCTGAGACTGTTCTCTGACTTGATTCAATTAAAACAGCTGTCATTCCTTCTATCCCCCCTTCCTAGTCCGAAAGACAGATTAATATAAAGCTGGGCTACACACAGGACGTGGCCCACGCGCAGACCAGGTCATGTCCACTGGGAACTTGATAGAAATGCAGAATCTCAAGCCCCACCCCAGAACTGCAGAACCCGATCTGGATTTTTAACCAGGCTCCTAGATAAACAGCGCGCACACCAGGGTTTGAGGAGCACCCAAGACCCCACCACTCCAATTGAGAAATGATTTTCCTCTTTTGAACAACCTGTCTTCAGCAGAAAATACAAACACATGCGACGACCACAGTGATGGTCTAACCCAACCAAATATGGGGAGTTTTGATATTTAGGGAAAGGCCAAAGTGGTTTTTTTGGCAGTATATTATTACTTCAAGTGACTGTGAAACTTGGTGGCTTTGGGTAGAGGAGACAGAGATTGTCTAGTCAGCCGAGTACCACCTCCCTGCTATTCTGGTAAAAAATGTCCCCTATCTTCAGGGTGACTCTTCCCAGGGACAGCTGCCACTCCTGGATCCTGATTGGAGGATGACCCAAGCCAGACCAATCAGAGTCCTTCCCTGGGATTTTGTATGCTCTGTGGCCAAGTGGGCTGGGAGGTGGAGCCCTGGATGGCTGCAGACATTCTCCTCTCTCCAGCTGCAGTTCCAGGGAAGGCCGGATGCCCATCCTCTCTGAGGATGAGAATAGGTCAAACACAGTGTAAAGCCAAACCCCGAGACAAGGAGAGTGAAAGAGGGGTGGTGGCACACAGTGGGAACACGTGCCAGCTTACTACTTCCTGAAACTTCTGAGATTGTCCCCACCTCCTGACTCCTGGATATGGGTCCAGAAATCCCCTCTGGGGCCCAGCTGCAGTTGAGGGGGGATTTTTGTCTTGCATCTGACCTAGCCCAGACACTGAGTCCTCATGTGACCTTGAATTTCCTGAACTCAGGCACCATATTCCAGCAGCTTCTAGCTGAGCTACGACTGTCTCTTGTGCTGACCATCAGCTGCTGAAGGGCTGCCTTGGCATATGGACCATTCCCCAGATTCCAGGCCCAGGGGAGGGCTCAGTTTCAACATCTGCTCCCTGGAGAGATTCCTGGATTCCCAACCTCCAGGTTGCCTGAGAGCCACCATTTGTAACCTTCACCGTATCTGACCACCTGTCCCTGCAAAACCTCAGGCTCACCCAGGACACTCTTGTGTCCATCCCAGACTTCATGAAATTCCCAGGGTTCTGGTACAGAGTGGGCACACGGCAACCTTTTCCTGGCCCAAGAAATTCAAAGTGTGTAGAGCTGGCCAGCTAGAGAGAAGTGGGGAAGAGAAAAATCTCTACTGAATTTTTACTTCTGGCCGGAAGTGATGCACCTATCCTTAACAACCAGGGTGGCATGGGAATGACTGAGTTGGAACCCAATCTAGCCACATACGACCAGAACAGTCAACAGAATATCTGCAGGACATCCGTCCTACAACATGGCTTCAATATGGACGTCTTGGGGCACAAGCAGGGTTATCAGACCCTGAGAGGTGCCCAGACCTATGTTGAGAGCTCCTTTTACCAAAGTCTGCTCTGCTACCTGTCTAAGCAAACCCCACTCTTCAGCTCCCCAAGAGAATGTCCAAAAACAAATTTTTTTTTCAAAAAATAATTAGTTCCCCATTGGAATCCAGAGCTGGACTGATGATCCAAACCTTCTATTTCACAATAGGCAAAATAGGTTCAAGAAGAGTAGAACTCACTGAAGCTCAGTGGAGCAAAGTCAGGACCTACCCCACCCCTCCTAAACCTGCTGCCTACTATGCCACCCAATGGGAGTGCTGGAGTGGCGACTTACTGAGCCCTCGCTCTGGGTCAGGCAAGAGCACTATCATGTCCCTGAAATGTCAGCCTCAGGAAATAGTGCTGCTGTGGCTTAGGTAGGAGATGTCCCCCCCCCAAAAGCTCACGTGTGAGACAACGCAAGAGTGTTCAGAGGAGACCTGATGAGACTGTGAGAGTCTGGACCTAATCAGTGGATTCATCTACTGATGGGGATTAACTGGGTGTGGCGGGAGGAGGTGGGTCCCTGGGGGGGTGTGCCTTTGGGGTTTCTATTTTGTCCCTGGTGAACGGAGCTGTCTCTGATTCCCTGTTGCCATGCCCTGAGCTGCTCTCCCTGCCTTGCCCTGTGCCCTGATGTTCTGCCTCGCTTTGGGCCAGCTGTAGAGCCAGCCATCTATGGACTGGGACCTCTGAACCCATGAGCCAAAATAAAATTGCCCTCCACTACGTGGTTCTTGTGAGGTCTTTTGGTCACGGCAACAGAAGAGCTGACTAAAATGAGCACCATGGCCTGTGTTCATAAACAGCTGTTTACTTGATGCCTACCATGTGCCAGGAGCTGATATGTTGATGAATGTGTCACCTGTTGCTGCATGACAGACATCCCTAAGACACAGTGGCTTAAAACAATATCACTGTGGACCAGGCACTCAGAAGTGGCTGAGCCGAGTGGTTCCAGCTCAGGGTCTTTAGAAAGGTGACAGTCAAAATGTCAACTGGGATGTAATCACGTCGGGGGGGCTGGTTGGGGCTGGAAAATTGGCTTCCAAGGTGGCTCCCTCCCATGGCTGGCGAGGTGTCAGGAAGCCTCAGTTTCTCACAAGCTGACCTCCCCAGACCAGCTTGGGTGCCTTACAATATGGCGGCTGACTTCCTTCAAAGAAAGGGATCCAAGCAAGGGCTTGGATCTTTTATTGCCATCAATGTCATTTCCAGAGCATCCTACTGGTGACCATAAGTTAGCCCTATTCTGTGTGGGCGAAGTCCATCCAAGGGCACCGGTGCCAGAAGATGTGTTCACCGAGGAACACCTCAGAGGATGGTCCCCACAGTCGAAATATAAGAAGGGCAGAGACGTGAAACTGACCCCAATTCACACCTCCAACAGGCTTTCCCCATCTTTCCTACCACGAGGGAGCTGGGAATCCCGGAGTGGCCCAAGCCACTGAAATTTCAGCTTGGCAGGATCCAGCACCCAAGGTTTGGCCAACCTCCAGCAACCTCACCCCTCCTGCCCTCTCCGTGGATCATTTGTTCCAAGAGCCCAGCTATAAATACCCACTTAGTGAAATGCCTTGCTCCCCGGGTACCCTTTCCCTGGCCCCCGGCTGCCTGCACCCTGCTTGAACAATGCCAGCTTGCAATCAGTCTGCAATCTGAATCCACTTT